TGGCAACTGTGAGCAGAAGTATATCGGTGAAACAGGAATAAAAATTAGCCTACGAATCCGAGAGGCCATTGATCTACTGACTGAGAGCAATCTAATGAACACGAGACTTGAAGAAGGCAGGATCAGCGAAAACTTTGCATATTGCCTAAACAAACTTGAAGACCAGGCAACAGCAAAATCAGCAAAAAGAAGGCGACTGGATCAAGGTAATATCCTCAATTTTAGGAAAAAAGATCGCAGGCTGATGAGAAAGGTAGAATCAGAAGCAAAGGGGATACGTCTTCAGAAAGACTTATCAAAACAAGTAGAATCACAGCATTTGTGGGTTGGCACACAAGAGACTATGACGTAGGTAGTGATGGACATGGTATCACAGTTACAAATAGGAAAGACGAGGTGGAGACCAAAGCTATTTGGCTAAAAACAGTTGTGTTTGATCATAGAAGTGTTCCTTGAATCACGACTATTGTTAGCCAACCAGCTCTAGCTTCCACTGTTTCTATCCTCTTTCTAATTATAATACCAGGTCTATTACTTCCTATGCTCTAGTCTCTTGTGTGCCAACCCACAAATGTTGTGGTACAGCTTGTTTTGATTTGGTTCAATCTTGAACCACAACATTTGTGGGTTGGCGCACAAGAGACTAGAGCATAGGAAGTAATAGACTTGGTATTATAATTGGAAAGAGGATAGGAACAGCTGAAGCTAGAGATGGTTGGCTAACAATAGTCGTGATTCAATGAACACTTCTATGATCAAACACGACTATTTTTAGCCAAATAGCTTCGGTCTCCACCGCGTCTTTCCTATTTGTAACTGTGATACCATGTCCATCGCTTCCTACGTCCTAATCTCTTGTCTACCAACCCACAAATACTGTGATTCTACTTGTTTTGATAAGTCTCTCTTTGCTTCTGATTCTTCCTTTCTCATCAGCCTGCGATCTTTTTTCCTAAAATTAAGGATATTACCTTGATCCAGTCACCTTCTTTTTGCTGATTTTACTGTTGCCTGGTCTTCAAGTTTGTTTAGGCAATATGCAAAGTTTTCGCTAGCAAATAATAGACTTGGTATTAGGGATAGAAACAGGATAGACGTCGGGGACCGGGAATAGTTGGCTGACGGTAGGTCTGTTGTACCAGAGACGTGGTACCTGTAGCAAAGGGGTGACCATGACACTCAGAGGCTTGCACCTTGAATTAGTCACCCAGACGCAGGGGAGGGCGAATAACGCCTCGAGTAGGACAGATGTGGTGACAGGAGTCGAGTGAAATAGGTGAACAAGGGTTGGAGCAAACGGATTTTACAGAGCAAGCGAGACACTGGGATAAGACTGGGAAAGAGGAGTTCATAATAATAAAGCAGACGCTGATCAACATTCCCTGCACAAGAATGAAAGGGGGGGCAGAAGGTTTGATGTCGCTCAAAGAAGCACACCACACTACATCGAAATAAACACGGTAAAAGTTCTAATAGTGAAGGCATGATATGATGATACCGGAAACGCGAATAACCCAGGGCAGATACCACAATTGTTTAGCACAAGTTTGGTCAAAGGATCGGCTTGACTTGCCCCTTTGACGAGTTGTTGTGTAGTGCTAAGAATGGCGATACTCACTGTCGATGCCTGCGAAACCTTTGGGAATGTACCACGTCCACGGTTCAACTTTGGAAATGATCACGCAGACAATGGACTCCGGACTAAGTGCGTTCCTCTAAGTCTTCTTACCATCATGATAATGTTGCGAAAACAAAGCCAAACAGCCTCTAAAAAACTATGCGAGATTGAATATTCTCGAAGCAGGATGCCAAACTAGCTTATTTCAGATGTCTTAGTGCCTGAGCGACTGTCGAGGTTCATAATGAACTAGACATGAGCTGAGCATGCACATTCTGTCAAATTTTTACATTTTATGCTTCATAATTTCAGTATTGCATCTATTTTATTTGCCTATTCATTAAAGCTACCCAATCAAGCCTAAAGCCATTCATCAATTTATAAAATACCATAACGCACTACAGTGTATTTACGTCTTGGGCTGATTATCATATTGAAAATAACGTCAGATCAAAATTTAAATGCTCTTCAAAACTTTACACTTTCGCTTAAGCTTATAGGTGATCTTGCATAAATTAGTGAATCACTTCTAATGCTGGCTAATTGGGCATCAATCCAATTGTACATGTCCATGCTCCGTTACAGCACATAACCTATGGTATGCCTAGATTCACTATTCCACGCTACCACGGATTTTTTTGCCCTATTGAAACGTTCACTCCCCTTAATATGATAGTGAGCAAGATTTAAATGCAATTTGGTCAGGATCAAAAATTCTGAACCACTTGATATTCATAATTTGGTGTATTCAAATACCTTAAATTAAATCCTTAACTAATTGCTCGACCCCATGGCTTCTAGATACATTACTTAAACCTGTCTGACATGCAAGGTAGTTTTTAAAAAGCCATATCGCAACCCACTCCAGTCTTGAATTTATAAGCATAATCCGAAGACGGGGGATTTCTGGCTATCCCAACATCACATTTCTGTTTAACTACTGAATTGAAGGTCATAAGCAACGAAAGAATTACAAGAACTTGGCCGATAGAATATTTCTTTGGATCAAAGTTGGTTACCTTCAAATCTTGAGCGTGCTCCGAACTTTGATTCCGAATATATAACGGAACCAAATCCTGAATTAGGTATCTTTAACAGGTCTCAGCAACCTTCCGTTCTAGTGTGCTCACACCCTTCCTTAGCTGCAGAACCTGACATCCAGAAGCCCAGCCCCTATATAAGGCACCAAAGGCGAGTAGTTAGACGTGACTTCAGCTTTCAACTACGAACTCGAGCTAGATGGGTCAAAAACGATTTGAGTCTGGGTCTTTCAGTACCACCAATGTTAGTAGTGTTTCCCAGGCTGAAAGAATCACTCACACTGAATCGGTTGCCCTTACAAGGCGTGTTGAAAGATAATATAGACAAGGAGCAAAGGCGCTGAAAGGTAAACGCTATCAGGTGCTTTAAAGCAGGCAATCTTATTAATGTATAGGCTCGTATTTCTCAATAAATCTCATCTTTTAAATGCTCAGTGGTCAAAATAATGCAGACTTTTTGTCGGAAAATGTGAAAAGCAACTGTGACTAAATCTTGAAATAAGGTAGCAGAAAGGCATATGCAAGTTGAGGCGAAGGATGCTAGAAGCCACCCTCTTCTTTAACATAAACACCTTAGTTAAATAGCTTTTATTTTTATAACCATTGGATATATTTGTGACAAAGAAGATTGATATTCCCATATACGGAACAAAAATGCTACAAGGGAGAGCCATAGTGTAGAAAATAGAAATTAAACGGATGAAGCACACATCAGCAAAGTCCATCGAGGAAAGAGACTATCTGTAATCAAGAAAGAGAAAAATAATGCAACAAATTAACAGCTACTATTATAAAGAGTAAAATCGCCAGAGAAAAATAAAGAAAAACAACTTTAAACTCAACTTTACCTATATTCTCAAACGGAGAATAACTCGTGACTAATCGTCGTGGCACAAGTTTATCTTATGATGAATCAATGTGGATGGATGACTCGGATTAGCAGCAAGGCTAGTGATCCGGAAAACCAATAGATCCAAAGACACTCGTAGGCAAATAAGTGGCGGCAGGACTAAGCAGTCGCTTGCTGGCGAGAGCTATTAAAAAAGCGAGCGAGCAGTTCTTCTTTAAATGTTTGCTAAGAGCAAATCCCTTCTGAGAGTGATGCTATTCGTTTCTTAATGAGGCTGCTTACAAAAGAATGGTAACTTAAGCGGTAGATGAGTAAACTGGTCATGAGGCGACGATTCACTTCTTGTGCACTGCTGCTTTTCAGACGAGTGACTCAAATAAAAACTTAAGTTGTTTCCTATTCATTGCCCAAGTTAGAGTCCGTGCGACTTTAAATGACTGACGTATGCTGAGCCAAAGTATGGCGTCATCGTCAATTGGCAGGAAAATTTCATTCCTCAATCTGCTTAGGTATCATCAGCACCCCAGTAGGATTCGGTACTGGGTTGTGAATATCATGGCGGCCGATAGAATTAAAACCCACTTATATTGAAAATAAGAGTGCTGGTCCCGCGCTGCCTAATATGATATTCAATATCGGAATGCTTGGCTTCTAAATCGGGCCCACATTATGCGAGATGGGGAACACAATGATCCCGGCGAAGTTCTGAAATGTACCTAGTCATCTATCCGATACTTTGAGTGATCAGTAATAGCAAATAATTCGTCAGGAGTAAAGTTTCAGGCGAATATTTTGAATGCTGATGTCTATTCGGATTGATATGTGAAAATTTAGCCAATCCTATTCTCTTGTAAACAGCTCAGGAGCCTCCATGATCGCATCCCCTACAAAACAATAATGTTGAAACCTATCAGGGCCATCTGATAGTTATATTGGAGTAGGTCCAAACTGTGCCTCGGTACTGTCTCTTTCATTTCAACATAATAACCAGGGCAGTGCATAAAAAATATTTGAAGACACAATGGCAGCCTTACTGGAATGAGGGATTCAATGATCTTCCTAAGAAACGAATATGTTCGTGATATTTTTGTCTCGCCACAAAGTACATGCTAGATAAAGCCGATTGGACAGCGTCGAGTTTTCGGCTTGGAAAAAGTATGAAAAGTGCCAAGAAAGTATATCTCTAAAGCAGCTAATAAAAACGAATTCTTATATCCTGAAGCCTTGGTACTGTCGCTAAACTATGAAAAATTTAGTCTGCAATCATCATCAGCATCATCGTAAAAATGGATAAATTCGTAATAAGTACCAACATGATTTAATTAACTGACCTTTTGACGTTGTGATCCACAGATTGCTGAGATCACATTATTCTGCCAATCAAGGCATAGGACAGACAATGGAGCCTGGACCTGGGAGTCTGGTAGCATGGAACAAAGTAATTTATGCGACTTTCCATGCCCCTTCCACAAACGATTTTTGCCTTTCACCACAGTCCATTCTCCTTCGTCTTTAGGTGCTGATTCATGAGCGCCAACATTCGGCAGGGGCTGCCGCTTTTTCTGCTCCATGAAAACTATCAAGGCGGAGAGATCGGCCAGTGTAGGCGAAGGTGTTGCAGCGAGGAAAGCAGAAGCGATCTTAGATTGCTGCTTCTTGTTCGTCAGTTCTCGAATGCGCATCTCAAATAGGTCAAAGAAAGTGGATTTGTGACAGCAGAGGTGTCGTTTGTGATATATTGCCAAGTTTGTCCATTGTCTGACGAGAGCTCGGATCGTAGGCTAAAAAAGAAGAAAACATTAAAAATAGTTCTTTTTTTGCTACAGTATATCGATCGACACGAATTATAAGTTTCGAAACTGGTAAACAAATAATGGAAAAATATCCTGCTGATGCTGACATAACTTCCATTTCATCTGAGGCGTGTGCAAGGGATTCCAAAATTGGCCCCATCAGATACCGGAGGAAG